GTCATATGACTCGTCATCATCTGTAGATAAGTTTTCATTGAAAACGAATTCTTTTAGTAAAATAATATCGTGTTTTCACTTCTGTGACCTGTTCTCAAGTACAATAAATTGGTTAGGTTTTCACACCTATGGTTTTATATAAATAGCAGTATGAAAAACTAAAAATATTTTGAAATGTCGAGATCATAGCCGGACCTGAACTGACCCACCTGTATCTATGCTCCCAGACCAAGCCGGATATTCGACTGAATTGCAGAATATTACTTTAAGAAACTTTTCTCTGATGGATTATTAAAACAAATTGATCATTCTATGAAGATATTCTTTCCTAAGAGTGACACAATAGATGAACATTTGTCGATCAATTAATTCAACAAGATATAAAGTCAATATCAGGTCACTTAGTTCAATATGAAAAAATGCATATTGACATGTAACATCTTATGGTGTTGATGATTCGCTGATACTTATCTGCATGGCAAAGAGAATTATCTTTACAGAGACGAATAGCCGTTCAAATTAATTATATTTCATTTGTTCATCCAGTCTTCATTACTGTTCGTCTCATTCTATCTTTGTTGTACAATGTCAATTGTCGATGTCGATATCGATGAATAGAAGATCTATACATGAACAAGAAATGTGTTCAAATTTTGATGTGAATGTATACTTTTTCAAATAGAAGAATTTTCTTGTATTTCTATAATTTATTCTTTATGTTAGGTTCACCTATCGGTTTACCATTTCTGAGATATCATTGTTTTTCAATGTTACATTTTATCAACCTGCGATCGCCTTATGTAAGTTGAAATTCAATAGTCATAATTGTATATTACAAAATCTAATAGTTCTTTTTTTCGCATGTTTTTCTTCTCTGATCATCGTTGAAATAGTTGTAACGCAATTAAAAAGAAACTATTACTCGTCCGACAGAAACAAACACGAACTGATGTAGACTCACCTATTCCACATTGGTTATTGAATGTAAACATTGGCAAGTGAAGTATTCGAATGAAAAATTATTCGAGCAATCTTTACTTTGATTGATGTAGAAATATTACTTCATATGAGATGGTCTATGTCAATTGTGTTTTCATCCGTGACGCCATTATCAATGGTATCTTGTTTTTTTA